AGTTGGAACAGACTACCCAGAGATCCAGAAAAGGGATGATGCCATCAATTTATGATTGATACGAGTTATGTGTGTTGCAAAAGAGGTTTTTTTAAATTTTATTTATTTATTTTCTGGAGAGGTTTTTTTAGCTATAGGGTGCATGCGCTCAACAGAAAGACAGAAAGAGACAGAGAGACAGAAAGCGAGAAATCACCCCCGGGGGAATGGTCACACCGCAATCCCTTCTCCTCCATTCTCCTCTCGGGATCTTGGGCACGCACGCACACGCGCCCGGCGTGAGTTTAAGCCACTGGGTCTGGGATGCGAACCGCGGTCGACTACATGGGAGTCCAGCGACATAGCCATTACGCTAACTGCTGGTCCCACAAAGGAGGTTTTATGGAATACTTTTTTAATATAATTGTTTTTTAATCACCTGCTTTTTTTTTTTTTCCCTTTAATTTTTGCTATAATGAGCATGCACTCACCAGAGAGAAAGGGAGAAATCACCCCCCAGGGGATGGCTGCCCCACAGTCCCTTCTCCTCCATTCTCCTCCAGGATTTGGGGCACACACGCACACGCGCCCGGCATGTTTTCGAAGCTGCTAGAACTCAGACTACTTGGTTAGCGATGTGGGATCCAGCCACCTTAACCACTATGCACCTGGCTGGCTCCCAGTGGCTTATTTCACTCAGTAATAAGCTTCAAGTTTAAGCTTCATGTCTTTCATGACTTCTTAGCTCATTTCTTTCTTTCTTTTTTTTTTTTTTAAAGTGTTTTGCCATGGGATGCATGCGCTCACCAGAGCGAGACAAAGAAGACAGAGGCAGAGAGAGGGAAAGTGAGAAATAGTCCCCCAGCCGGCATGACCACGCCACAATCCCTTCTCCCCCCATTCCCCTCTTGGAGTTTTGAGCATGCACATATGCCCGGCATGATTTGCAAGCTGCTGGATCCAGGACTTGAACTATACAGCTGGCCATGTGAGATCCAGCCACCTTAGTCTCTATGCTACCTGCGTGACCCAGCTTTTTGGTTTTAATTTTAATTTTTATTATTTTTTAAATGTATTACTTATTGAATTTTATTTATTTATTCATTTATTTTAATTTCACGAGAGAGAGAGAAAGAGGGAAAGGGACAAAGGAAGCTGCCAGGTCCGGGACTTGAACCGTGGTTGGCCATGTGGGAGTGTCCAGCACCTTAACCACCACGCCACCTACTGGTCCCCAGCTTTTCGTTTTTAAAATAGACTTTATTTATTTATTTATTTATTTATTTATTTATTTATTTATTAATCCCTTCTCCTCCATTCTCCTCTCGGGATCTTGGGCACACACGCACAAGCACCCGGCGTGAGTTTAAGCCACCGGGTCCGGGACTTGAACCGCGGTCGACTATGTGAGAATCCAGCGACATAGCCATTATGCTAACTGCTGGTCCCTAAATAAAATAATTCTTAAAAACATGCCAGCGTCCAGCGGGTGACGTGGTGGTTAGGGGCACTGGACTCTCACATGGCTGACCACGGTTTAAATTCGGGACCTGATGGCTGGTTTTCTCACTTCCCCTCTCTCTGTTTCTCTCTCTGGTGAGCACACGTGCCCTAAAAGAAATAAAAAAATAGTAATAGTAAATAAAACTTAACTAATCATTCTTAAAAGAAAGAGAGAAAGTTCCAGAAACAGTAGCGATAGCTACACAACACTGTGGAGGTACCTAATGCCACTGAAACAGTGCATTGTATGTATATTTTATGACAATTAAAAAGACATCCTGGGACCAGCAGTTAGCGTAATGGTTATGTCGCTGACTCCCATGTAGTCAACCGCGGTTCAAGTCCCGGACCCGGTGGCTTAAACTCACACCAGGCACGTGTGCATGCATGCCCAAGATCCTGAGAGGAGAATGGAGAAGGGATTGCAGTGTGGCCATCCCCCCTGGGGAGGGTGATTTCTCGCTTTCTGTCTCTCTGGTGAGCACACGCACCCTATAGCAAAAAAAAAAAAAAAAAAAAAAAAAAAAAAAAAAAAAAAAACTCTCCAAAAAAAAGAAAAAAAGAGAGAGAGACATCCTTCCCCCGAAGCTGTCACTTCCGGTTTCGCCATCGGCCAACCCCTGGCAAGCACTAACCTACATTCCGCCTCTCCAGATTCCCATATTCTAGACATTTCATACAAGCGGGATCTGGTTGCTTCCACTTAGCATGATGCTTTCGAGGTTCATCCGTGTTGTAGCGTGTGCCAGTACTTCATTGCTCTGTCTCGCTGTCTGTCTGTCTTGGAAAAAACAAACGAATGAACTTTACATGTTTCTTTATTATTTAGTTGTTTATTTTATTTTATCCCTTTAATTTTCATGTGCTGTAGGACACATGTACTCTTCAGAGATGAGAGAGAGAAGGAAAAGGAGGGACCAGCAGTTAGCATAATGGCTATGTCGCTGGACTCCCATGTAGCCGACCGCAGTTCGAGTCCTGGACCCGGTGGCTTAAATTCATGCCAGGTGCATGTGCGTGCGTGCCCAGGATCCCAAGAGGAGAATGGAGAAGAAGGGATTGCGGTGTGGCCATCACCCCTGGGGGGTGATTTCTTGCTTTCTGTCTCTCTGTCTCTCTCTGTCTGTCTGGCAAGCGCACACGCCCTATAGCAAAAACCTCTCACAAAATATATAAATAAATAAAAAGAGAAGGAAAAGGAAAGTGAGAAAGCAAGCCACCAGGTCTGGTACTTGAACCGTGATCAGCCACGTGGGAGTCCAGCATGCCCACCACGACGCCACCTGCTGCCCCCATATTTATTGATTTTATAGCCAGAGAGCGCGTGTGTTCCCAAAGAGAGACAGGGAGACTGAAGAGAGGGGGAGGGAGAAAGCGTCCCGCCGTGGGCATGGCCACGCCCCAGCCCATTTTCCTCCATTTCTTTATCCTGTGGGGATTTGGGCCACGTATGTACACATGCCTGGTGTGTTTTCCAAGCCACGGAGTCTGGATTCGAATTGTGATGGGCCATACGGGTCAAAAGTTGGCCAGTCCGTTAACCACCAGGCCACAAGGCCCGATCAATACATTTAAAAAGAGAGAGCGGGACCAGCAGGTGGCGTAGTAGTTAAGGCGCTAGACTCCCAGAGGGTTGACCAGAGCTCAAGTTCTGGACCTGGTGGCTTGAAACTCAAGCCAGACACACATGTACGAGTGCCCAGCACCCCAAGAGGAGCATGGAGAAGGGATTGTGGCATGGCCTTCCCCTGGGGGATGATTTCTCACACTCTCTCTCTCACTGGTTGAGTACACATGCCTGATAGCAAAAAAATCTGTCTAAAAAATAAAAATAAAAAGAGTTAGAGAAAGAAACTGGAATCAGCTCAAGTGTACTTTTTAAAATGTTTTGAGAGTGTTTTTTTTTAAAGAATTATTTAATTTTATTTATTCATTCTTTTTTAAAATTTGATTTGACCACACACACACACACACACACACACACAGAAATTGAGAAGGCAAGCCACCAGGTCTGGGACTTGAACTGTGGTCAGCCATGTGGAGTGTCCAGCACCTTATCCACCATGCCACCTGCTGGTCCCCAGAGAGGTTTCTGCTATAGGGCACGTGTGCTCTCCAGAAGGACAGAGAGAGACAAAGAAACAGAAAGCGAGAAATCACCCCCGAGGGGGGATGGCCACGCCGCAATCCCTTCTCCTCCATTCTCCTCTCGGGATCTTGGGCATGCATGCACATGAATAAATCAATAAATAAAACTGAATAATGTAATTCTAAGAAATAGAGAATTATTTAACTTTATTTATTTATGTATTGATTTACTTTAATTTGTTCAGAGAGGGACAAAGTAAGAGAGAGAAAGAAAGTAAGAAAACAAGCTGCCAGGTCTGGGACTTGAACCACATTCAGCCATGTGGGAGTCTAGCACCTTAACCACCACGCCACCTGCCGGCCTCCATACTGGCTAATTTTATTTTTTAACACAAATGAGATCATATGTCATGTACCTCTCAGCAATTTGCTTCTCATTAATAAACCAATGGGACCTCCTTACTCATTATCTACCTCACTCTTTTTTCTTAAAGAATTTTTTGCCATTGGGCATGAGTGCTCACTGGAGAGAGAGACAGAGATAGAGAGAGGAAAATCACCCTCTGGGGTGCAATCCCTTTCCCTCCATTCTCCTCCCGGGACTTTGGGCACACACACACACGTGTACTTGATGTGATTTTCAAGCCACTGGGTTTGGGACTCGAACTGCAATCAGCTATGTGGGAGTTCAGTGCCTTAACCACCATGCCAAATGCTGGCCCTGCTACCTCATTCCTTTAAACGGATGCAAAACAGTCTCCTGCAGAGCTGTGCCGCGCTTCCTTTAGCTCTGCTCTGCTAGACGTTCAGATCATTTCTAGGTTTTACAATCACAGACATTCCATCGGTGCAGTAAGCAGCCTTGCCTACACACCCTGGGACGTTTCTGGAAGGAGAAATGTGTTGGGAGTCGTCCTGTAGCCTGGGGTTCTGTGACGGATACCCGTGGTGCCCAGTGTGCTGTTGTCCCATCTCATGGGCGTGTCTTGGATGTCTCCCGTGCAGGGCCTCGGCCTGTAGTGTCTCCCAAGACACTGATGAGACTCCATCTGCGGCTGTCAAGGCTTCCATCTTCTCCCCGCCGATGCTCCTCAAGTTCCAGCCCGTGCCCAAACCCAAAGACGACTCAGAAAACGACCCTGGCACTGCAGAGCCCGTGACCCCCAAGAGGAGCCCGTGACCTCTTGCTTGCAGACCCTGGCCTGAGGAATGAATAAAGTCCCCATGGAGGTGCCTTCCTTGTGTGGGCTCCCTCCAGCCTGAGGAGGTGGTCAGTGCAGTGCAAGCCTAGCCCCCAGGGTGGGAGCCTGCCTGGAGTAGGCGGTCAGGTCAGCGCTGTGACCAAGTCCCCTTGCTCACATTCCTTAGCACATGTGCTTGCCAGAGAGATGGAGAGAGGGAAAGTGAGAAATCACCCCCCGGGGGATGGACACATGGCAATCCTTTCTCCCCCATCCTCCTTCCAGGATCTTGGACAGGCACGCACACGCGCCCGGTACGACTTCCTTTCTTTTTAAAAAATTTTTTAAAGAATTACTTATTTAACTTTATTTATTTTTATTTTTATTCTTTTCTTTTTTATTTTTTTTTCTTAATTTGACCAGAAAGAGAGAGAAAAGGAAAGGGAGGAAGCAAGCTGCCAGGTCTGGGACTTGAACCACAGTTGACTATGGGAGAGTCTAGCACCCTTAACTGCTATCCCAACAGCTGGTCCCAGTGATTCTCAAGCCACTGGGTCTGGAACTTGAACCACGGTCAGCCATGTGGGAGTCCAGAGACATAACCACTATGCCACTTCCTGGCCCCAGCCATGTCAACTTTTTTTTTTTTTTTTTGGAGAGGTTTGTGTGCTATAGGGCGCGTGTGCTTGCCAGACAGACAGAGAGAGACAGAGAGACAGAAAGTGAGAAATCACCCCCCAGGGGGGGTTGGCCACGCCGCAATCCCTTCTCCTCCATTCTCCTCTTGGGATCTTGGGCACGCACGCACACACGCCCAGCATGAGTTTAAGCCACTGGGTCTGGGACTCAAACTGCGGTAGATTACATGGGAGTCCAGCAACATAGCCATTATGCCAACTGCTGGTCTCCCCCCATTATATTGTTATTTTAAAAAATTTGCTACAAGGTGTGTGTACTCATGAGAGAGAGAGAGAGGAGAGAGAAAGTGAGAAAGTAAGCTACCAGGTCTGAGATTCAAACTCCAGTCGGCCACATGGGAGTTCAGGGCCTTAACCACCACACCACTTCCCGGCCCCACTTTATTTTTAAAATTTTTTTTATTTGGAGAGGTTTTCGCTATAGGGCGTGTGTGCTCGCCAGACAGACAGAGAGAGACAGAGAGACAGAAAGTGAGAAATCACCCCCCAGGGGGGGTTGGCCACGCCGCAATCCCCTCTCCTCCATTCTCCTCTCGGGATCCTGGGCACGCACACACACACACACACACACACGCGCCCGGCATGAGTTTTAAGCCCCCGGGTCCGGGACGCGAACCGCGGTCGACTACGTGGGAGTCCAGCGACATAGCCATTACGCTAACTGATGGTTCCCTTTTTTTTTTTTTTTTTTTAAGGTTCTTGCCATAGGGTGCAGGTAGTAGAGACATGGAGGGAAAGTGAGAAATCACCCTTCAGGGGCACAGGCACGCTGCAATCCCTTCTTTATTCCCCTCCTGGGATTTTGGGCATGCACGCAGACACGTGCCTGGTATGATTTTCAAGCCACCAGGACTTGCACCGCAGTCGGCCATGTGGGAGCCCAGCACCTGAACCACCACGCCACCTGCTGGCCCCACTAAACCCATAGGTAGACCGAATCGTTATGCGATTGTGCATTGTGATAAACCCAATGGGAGATGTCTAGAGAGACTGTCAGGGACAGTCAGGGACATCTCTCTGGGAAGGTGACATTTATGGTGAAACCTACAAGATGAGAAGAACCCAGCCGTGAGATGAGAAAAAGCAAGGACAACTGGCTTTGCGTGGTGGTGATGTTCAGGACAGTGGGGGAGTCAGGG